AAAGGAAGTAGGAAGCATCATTGGGAAGAAAGGGGAGTCGGTTAAGAGAATCCGCGAGGAGAGTGGCGCGCGGATCAACATCTCGGAGGGGAATTGTCCGGAGAGAATCATCACTCTGACCGGCCCCACCAATGCCATCTTTAAGGCCTTCGCCATGATCATCGACAAGCTGGAAGAAGATATCAACAGCTCCATGACCAACAGCACGGCGGCCAGCAGGCCCCCGGTCACCCTGAGGCTGGTGGTGCCGGCCACCCAGTGCGGCTCCCTGATTGGGAAAGGCGGGTGTAAGATCAAAGAAATCCGCGAGAGTACGGGGGCCCAGGTCCAGGTGGCGGGGGATATGCTGCCCAACTCCACCGAGCGGGCCATCACCATTGCTGGCGTGCCGCAGTCTGTCACCGAGTGTGTCAAGCAGATCTGCCTGGTCATGCTGGAGACGCTCTCCCAGTCTCCGCAAGGGAGAGTCATGACCATTCCGTACCAGCCCATGCCGGCCAGCTCTCCAGTCATCTGCGCGGGCGGCCAAGATCGGTGCAGCGACGCTGCGGGCTACCCTCATGCCACCCATGACCTGGAGGGACCACCTCTAGATGCCTACTCGATTCAAGGACAACACACCATTTCTCCGCTCGATCTGGCCAAGCTGAACCAGGTGGCAAGACAGCAGTCTCACTTTGCCATGATGCACGGCGGGACCGGATTCGCCGGAATTGACTCCAGCTCTCCAGAGGTGAAAGGCTATTGGGCAAGTTTGGATGCATCTACTCAAACCACCCATGAACTCACCATTCCAAATAACTTAATTGGCTGCATAATTGGGCGCCAAGGCGCCAACATTAATGAGATCCGCCAGATGTCGGGGGCCCAGATCAAAATTGCCAACCCAGTGGAAGGCTCTTCTGGTAGGCAGGTTACTATCACTGGTTCTGCTGCCAGTATTAGTCTGGCCCAATATCTAATCAATGCCAGGCTTTCTTCTGAGAAGGGCATGGGGTGCAGCTAGAACAGTGTAGGTTCGCTCATAACCCCTTTCTGCTGTTTTCCCATGATCCAACTGTGTAATTTCTGGTCAGTGATTCCAGGTTTTAAATAATTTGTAAGTGTTCAGTTTCTACACAACTTTATCATCTGCTAAGAATTTAAAAATCACATTCTCTGTTCAGCTGTTAATGCTGGGATCCATATTTAGTTTTATAAGCTTTTCCCTGTTTTTAGTTTTGTTTGGGTTTTTGGCTCATGAATTTTATTTCTGTTTGTCGATAAGAAATGTAAGAGTGGAATGTTAATAAATTTCAGTTTAGTTCTGTAATGTCAAGAATTTAAAAATTAAAAAGTGGATTGGTTAAAAAGTGCTTCATATTTGAAAAAGCTGGGAACTGCTATCTTAAACTCTTTGTTGGTGCTTTTTTTCTTCCCCTTTTAGTGCTCGGCCGGCCTTTGTAGGGAGTAGGGTGGGCCCGTCCTTGGTATTTTCTCAAGCCCTTTTCACCTTACTGGTAAGATTCCATTCCCTCTCTGTCCCAACAAAGGAACACAGCAGGCTGGGCTGGCTTTGGGATGTTTGCAGAGTCTGGGGCTCTGTTGGAGAGTGACATCCCTCCAGCCAGGTTCCAGAGAGAGGCCTCTGCCCATTTCTCTGGTAGAATACATAAGGCTTTTCTCAGATGGAAGAATGCCCTTTCCGGAGGACCTCTGATGAATGGCCGTGTGTCCTCTGTTTTAACCAGCCCCACCCCCAGTCTCTCGTGGAAAAGTCTTAGCCAGAAACAAAAAAATGTTGAGGTGGGAGGAGTCGGGGGTGCCCAGAGAAGAGGTGGGGGAGGGAAGGGCTGGGCTGGGCTGGGGGTGAAGGGAGGGGCTGAGGTAGAGGGAAGGGAAAGGGGCAAGGGTGGGTCTGAGGGCTTGGAAGAGGGTAACTGCTACATGGTGGGTGGCGGTAGGGATAGAGGGTCTTGGTGGGGCAGCAGGACTGAATGGGGGATGGTACCAGCGGGGCGCACGTGGCAGGCATGCACCTGTGGCAAGCAGCCTGTCAGAGGATGTTATTACACCTGCCAAGTGGCGTATTCAGAAACAAAGGAGGCCCAGCTTCTAATTTCTTCAGCTGTGCGGTGTTTAAAGACATCATTTTACGGGGAAATAATTCTGCCTAAATGGGGCAGCCCTCACAGGCAGAAACGTATTGGAATGATGCACTGACAGCAAACAGCCAAAGAATGACCTCAATGTTAAAAATGCATGTTTCTGGGTCCCACCCCAAAACTAATCAGGGACTGCATTTTTAACAAATCTGCAAAACATTCTTATTTTCAAGTCACCTATTTTCTTCACCAGTGGATTAGGGACATCTTGCTGCAAAGGCCTAGCAGCTTCATATCCACATCAGCCAGTGGGTCCAGGCTGAACCTGATGAGAAGAAAATTTTTCTAACGTTAAGCAAAAACACTAGAAACAGCAGCACAGGACAATAGACAATTACGTGCCACAGTGTGTAGTTCAGACCAGGCACTGTGGGAGATCACTAACAGCAGAGAGAAGTTCCCATTGGAGGGGAGTGTTAGCCACCATAAATACTTGTTGAGGCTGATTCCCTACAGGGCATCTACCTGTTCCTTTTTTCCTGAAGTACAGACCTGGTTACAAGAGTCCCTGGAGGTAAGATTGGGGTCTACATGTACTTTATACCCACTGCGGAGTCAGGAACCCAAATTCTGACATTAAACCTGAGTTTAAATTTTAATTTGGCTGCTACTTGTGGCCTTGGGCAATTTACTTAAACTCTATGAAATGGAGGTGTTAAAGTACACGTGTCCTGGGCTTGTGGGGGAAAAAAAAATGAGAGCGTGTATGTGAAACAGAACAGTGCTTACAACACAGTAAACTTTAGTATACTTTAGACTGCAAAAAGCCCAAGGCTCATTTCTGCCCACAATGTCTTTGAGCAGAGAAGTAATAAAGAAAGCAATGTGTACTAAATGACAAGCTGAGACAAGACAGTTGTCCTAGGGGCCAGGACAGATAAGGGAGGCCCTAGTGAAGACCTAGAAATGGGCTCAGTGTCTTCTGGAAATAATAAGCACAAATCAAGTTTGTGCAGAGGAGAGCGGGAGCAGATTTCTAGGCTGGACCCTCAAACACCAAGCTGAATGTTGTGAAACGTCCTTAAGACTTGCTAGGGGAAGTGGTTCAAATGCTCTGTAAAACGTAGGCCTCAAATTTCCCTCAACCCTCCTCCCCTCCCCACCTCTTAAAACATACAGCTGGCAATAATTTGTAAAATAATGATTTAGGCCGCAAGGATAAATAAGATAGGATAGGACAGCATAGGGCGAATGGCCACTTGGCGAAAATAAAGGCAGGAACAGCAGTTAGAAACGACCTCAGCCAATCAGGTTCTCATACTGGTTGGGAAATGGTATTAATAGAAATGTGTACAGAAAGGAGCCAGTGCAAGAGAGATTGAAACTGGCTGTGGAGGCCAGAGAAAGAGATGTGAGGAGGGGGAGCAATGAATTCAGACATGGTGATGGGAGTATCTGCAGGCAGAAATAGCTTGAAACAGGAGACAAACTGAAGGGAATTCAGGGCTACAGGGAGACAGATAAACAAGAAGAAAAGGCTAGAGGCTGAGCTCTCGGGTGTATCCTTGAGGTAAGGGCACTAGCCTGGTTACGGTATCCCTAGTGCCTTTCACCATATCTGACATACAGCCGGGGCTCAATAGTGTTTGTAGAATGAGTGTGGAGGAAGCAGCCAATGAAGAGGAACAGTCAAAGCAGCAGGAGAGAAACCAGGATGGCGCCCTTGAGAGAAGTCAAAGAGGAACATTTCAAAGCCAATAGAACAATTATACCACAGCATTATTGCTGTAATTTCGAGGTTTAACAGGTTTGACTGAACGTCTACTATATGCAGAAACACTTTGAGCTAAAACTTGGCATTTTGGTTGAAAGATCTGTAATACCCCACTGAAGTTAGAGTATGGGAGGTGATGGAGGGAAGGGGAGGTGAAAGAGAATCATTTGAGGCTAAATTATAAACAGCTTTGAATGCCATAGTAAAGGGTTTGAGTTTTATCCTGAAAACCAGTGGTCTCTCAACATTTTCTTAAAGGGTACCCCTTCCATAAAAAGTCTTTAGCATATCCTCTTATTATTTATTTATAAATCATATATATGTCTATGGTCAATATGCTTTTTTATAAACTATATAGAACATAATTCTAAATATGTGTATTAGAAAACACAAACAACTTAAATATTAACAGTTAAGATAAAAAAACAAACTGAATTTCTAATAGTTTTTTACACCTACCTCCCCACTAATTTTAGAGATAAAGGGGATCCTGGAGGAGACAATTTCAATGTCACGAGTATTCTTAGGGAGCAGGATTTTAGAAGAGAGGTAGAGGGAAGCCAGACTGCAGCAGGAGAGGAGGGCCTGGGGGTGAGGAAGCGGAGACAGTATAGGTGGCCCAGATACTTGGTGCAAAGGAGAGAAACAGGACAACAACTTGAGGCGGGAGACTTGGGGAAGGGTTTTTTTGGGGAGGTTTGATTGTTTTTGAAGTAACCTCACTAAAAGAGTAATCAGGAAGCAATAGAAAGCTAAAAATAAAAGCTACAGGTAAGAAGAATGGATAGAAGAGGGTGTTGGAGCAGTGACTCTCAGGTGCCTGGCCAATCTGACTATTAGAGTTTAATTCACTTTGTCCCCTCTGATGCGGACCTGCACTTCAACACCCCTTTCTCTTTGGGGCAGCTTGAGCAGGTCCCATCCTCTTCTGGGTTGAGGGCTGGAAATGCACGAGCCCCTGTGCAGTTGCTATGTTTCTTGTCACAGCGCCATTCCTACCACCAGCTGTTAGGCCACAGCCACTGCTGGAGCCTAAACAGGCTGACAATCACCTGTTGTGTCATAGCCCCAGGAGTTGCCCCACTTGTTTAGAAGGCTAGTCTCCTCCGAACCCCCAGTTCTCTCTCTTGCCCCACTCAACACACACACACATACATCACCACCTCATGCCTCACCCCAGCCAGCAGTCTGGGTCACACCCGGAGCAGTTACTTATTCTTTGTCATCTGTTTGCTAAGAGCTTGAGGTTTGTGAGCTGAACCCACCTCACCCCCCAGCTGCTCCAAATAGTGAACCGCATACTGTTCAGCATTACCAGCCCTGTCACCTCCTGCCAAAGAATCAGCCACTCAGCCAAACATATAAATAGGCAGTCACCACCAGAGAAGCTGTCCACTGCCAAGTCCTTCGGCCACCTTGCCTGGCCTGGCCACTGGAGGATTCCAATCTGACCACATCACTCTCCTACTTGAAGACTATCAAGTCCCACCTCTATCCATGGTCTACAAAAGAAAATCTGAACTTCTCGGCATAGCTTATAGACCCTGCAGGATCTGTTCCCACCAGCCTCACCAGGGCAAAGCCTGCCACTCTCTTGTCTCTGCCCTCAGCCTCCCATACGAAATGATTTGCAGTCCCCCAAAGTCATTCTGTTTGGGCATCCTCGCATGTGGGAAATAATTGTTCCTTCGTAATTCTGGCCCTGACTGTCTTCTTCTTCAACATTACCTGTCTAGGGTTCTGGGGCTCCTGCTCTTGAGCCTCAAAATTCTGCCTGGAAAATTATACTCTACTGAGGTCCTGGCTCTGAGTGGTCTTGGACAAGTCGCTCCTTCTTTGTAGGCCTTAGTCCTCCCTCCAGATAACTGGATAAGATAATGTCCATGATCCTCCGGCTGCCTTGGGAAATAATAATGCCTTTGTGGGCACCCAGCCCTGCTTCTGCCTCCTGCCACAGGGCTGACTTCTGATACACAGGCCTTCCGTAAACATTCTGAGAGAGAAAAACGGAAGTTAACAAAAGACTGGCAGCAACAAGCCCCAGCTTGGCATTTTGGGTAACTATTCACCAGGACTTGACTGAGAAGGAAACAGAGAGGAAGGAACTACCAGAGGGACTTGCTCTGAACATCCCTGAGGGTGCTATCGCCTTTATACTTTATTGGGAAGAGGAGGGGGCCGTAGAGGGGGAGGCAAAGGGGGCGTGCCAGGGAGGGTTACACACCAGTGAGGGAGTTAGCCCCCTAAGCCCGCCCAGGCCCCTGCCCCTCCTTCCCCTGCTCTCATTCCCCAACAGTGGGGGCTCTGAGATGGCTCTTGTCCCCTGAGTGCCCCCTGGGCCAGTGTCCACTAAAGTAAGAAGGTTATGACACCTGCCCCCTTCTCCTCCCAGCAGCTGATAAGGACTCTGGACAACTGCCACCAGGCTGAGTGTGCCTTGGTAGGGAACTGAGGCAACTCTGCTTCAATGACAGCAAACACAATACCCAGTTAGTCCCCAAATTAGTTACTCCCTGAGCCATTCAACCACAGCG